CACACACACACACACACACACACAGTAATGCATGGACTGCCAGGAAACCAGCTTTTGTGCATTCATTTGCATTTCAAGAAGCTCTCTGAAAGGCAATTCTGTCCTCACCACCACCATACATTTCCAATCTATATTCAAATGCACATTCTCTGAAATTGGGTCAGCAGAGAGAGGAGAGGAGAGGAGAGGAGCAAACAGCCAGCTACCTATCCAAATCAGGTATACAAGGAAACAGGGAGCTCCCCTTAGCAAAGAGACTAGAGGTTTCGTCCATCTGCTGGAATGGCCAGCAGGTAGAATGTTACACCCCGAGGACAGGGAAAAGTGGCCACGCCACTGGGTAGAGCATGACGAGGCTGTATTCAAAGAACTGTAATTTCTTTTTAGGCATGCTGTCAGCAGCATTTTTATGGCATCTCAAAGTGCCGGTGCTGAGTCAGAGTGTCTTTGCCAGCATTGTTCTCTCTAACTGGCAGCAGCTCTCTGAAGTCCAAGGCACATGGCGCAACTGGTTTTAGTTGGAAATACAGGGGATTCGGAGCAAAGCAGTGTGAAATGCTCCTGTTTGGAGCTCCCACCAGCCTACAGTGGTGTGATGGGTTTTGGCCAGGGAAGGAGCCTTCCCTGTAGAGATGCATGGGAATCTCAGTTCATTCTGCATTTGAATTTGCCCATTCCCACCTTCAGGGTGGAAGGAGGACTTGGATGGAATCTGAGCTCCAAGTCATTGCATTTCTGAGCTTGCAATGGGATTCACAGATTGCCCCGAAATGCGTCCGACTGTAGGCTTGGTTTATTTAAACATCATTTCAATTGTTAAAACATATGATCTGGCCTGGGCAACTTCTTCTTCCTTCTCTTTCTCCTCCTATATTTTTATTTTATACTGATAATTTTAATTTTGTATTTGTAAATCAATGTATTTTTTGTATTTTTATATTTAATAGTAATTTATTATGTACTATTGTATTTCAATGTATTTTATCATGTTGTAAGCCACCCCGAGGTTTCGGCAAGGGGCGGCATAGAAATGTTATAATAATAATAATAATAATAATAATAATAATAATAATAATAATAATAAATCCAACATGCATTGTTCCGAAAAACTTGGCCTGCCCAGAGTGTGATACAAATGAGAGGACTTTAAACAAATTAGATGGATAAAACTTCAGTTTTGCTGATTTGCACATCTTTGCCTCTGAGTGTGCTCAGTCGGTATCCTCTCTGTGAGATGCCTTTCCAGGGAGAGCCATCCCCGTCTTCCCTATGTACCCATTTAGAAGCCAAAGTAAGACGTACCTTATCTAGGCTTTTAATCTTTAAATCTGTTGCTCTGATTACACACTTTACTGCTGACTCCTTCATATCTTTAATGTTTACATAATTTGAAATCTGTATGGTTGTATTTCTTATTTTGGTTATCATTATATTATTTTTTGCATTTTTCATTAGTGTAAATCAGTGTAGCACGCCAGACACACAGCATACTCTCTAACACAGATAGATAGCTAAAAGAGTAACCCTGCAAGGCAGTCAATTGATTTAAAAAAAAAGTAATAAAGCAACCATAATCCAGTGTGATTGCATTATTAAATATTAATACTTATTAATGCATTATTGCTCCTAATAACGCTGATGAATATTGTATGGTGGGGATGGGATTCTTTCCCCAAAGCTTCCTGCAAAACAGGAAAGAATTGGTGGTGGAGCAGAAAGAAGAGAGGCTGTTATGATCATAGTACAGCTGAGAGAGAACCAGGCTATGTGGCATATTTCCAAAATGAATCAAGCTCCCATGGAGGAGAAGGCTGCACCTCAGTTTTTAAATGCTCCGACAGTGAATGCTGGAGCTGCCGGTCACCAGCTGCATTGTTCGTCCATTGGCTGAGTTTCCTTTATTGCCAGAATTATCAACCTTTCAAAGCCTATTGAAATCGATTCCCTCGCACATTTCTAAGTGGGAGGAAAGCCGCTGGGCTCTCTCTTCAGGTCAGATATCTGAGGCAAAGCAGTTTATATCAGGAGTGGGCAGGGATGCAACAGTAAATCGGAAAAATGCAGCACTAAATGCAGACACGGCAGGAGGCACAGCTGGCTGTGCGGAAGGAATGTGGCAAAGCCAGGTCTCCTGCAGCCAGAGGTCCTTCTAGAGGGTGCTCCCAAAGTCACTGGATACATGCAAGAAAGCATTTAGACTGGTTCCCACATCCCATGTTGAGATTAAAGGCAAGTTTTGGGTCTATTTTGGGGGATCGGGGCGTGAGCGCTTATGCCATCAAAATGGCACCATGCACCCATACATTGGCAAGACCAGGGCAACCCTGTGTTTTACAGAGGTACATGTATGTACACACACACACACACACACACACACACACACACACAGTGTGGGGAAACAAAGAGGGGTGTCATCCTATTAATTAATTATCAACAACTAATATTATTAATATCATATTAGTATTATATTAAGTAATATTAAATAATATTATATTAATACTAATAATTTAATTAATAATTATTAATGTTAATGAGGAGTTAACATTCCTCTTTCTTCCACTGGGCTATGTCCTACAAGGCAGCCTCCTCCAACCTTGGGTTCCAAGATGTTGAACTGTATATGCCATCATCCCCAGCCAGCATGACCAACAGGCAGTGATGTAGGCCAACAGAATCTCACGTCCTGAGGGTGGGAAAGATTGCTTTACAACTGTTGAAAACCACCCAGAGCGCCTTGGCTATGGGGCAGAATGGAAATGAAATAATAATAAATGAATAATAAAGAGAAGAGGAGAGGCACCCCTCAGGCTTTAAAGAAAACACCCCCCGGATGTGTTAACACCCCCATCCCATCCACTCCCTGCACTTAGTCCTGCCATTTGCACTCGTTTCTTTTCCAGATCCAAATCCAGGCCTCCCCCTCCTCCATCCAACACCCTAACCAAGCCTTCCCCAGCCTGATGTTCTCCAGATGCGGTGGACAGCAGCTCCCATGCTTGCCAGCCAGCATGAGGCTGAGGGGATTTGTCATCCACGAAATCTAGAGGATACATGTTTGGAGAAAGCTGCTCTGACCACTATACCTTCCTGCTGTAGAGTCCTAAAAAGGCACCATACTGATTTTTTTAAAAAGCAGACAAAGATGGAGTCGAGCATGTCAACTCGACAGACAGGGCTTCATCAGCAGTCAAGTGATGTCATCATATTTATTCTGTTAGTTTTGAGTGCCATCCAATCTACTGCTTTTCATTAAACACAGATTTTGTTTCTAAGAAAGAAAAGCCAAGAATTAAAAAAAATAAAAATCTAATCAAAGGCTAATTACTCTGGGGGTTCATCATTAAACAGAAAGCATTATTTCTTGTCAGAGGCTGCTTGGAAATGAAAGACGAAGGCTAATTTATTCGCACAAAAATTGCTTGAGTATTTTTAAAGACGGTGAAGAGGTGCTACCTCTTTCACATGCCTTTTTATGTTTCTGCAAGCCACATTCAAATTAAATTGCTTGTCAAAGCTCCTTGATAGTGTTTAAATATGGGGAAGACAAGAGAGTCGTCAAAAGAAATGCAAGAAGAAGGGCAAGATCGCTCTTAGTCACTTGGCTCTGCGGAAATGTCATGGAATAATTTCTCTAAGGGGTGGGACATCTCCGGTCCTTTAAACATGGGAATGTATAGGTACTAGGAGAGAAAATTGGTTTAGTTTGCTTAAACTGGTTTGGTTTAGCTGCCAAATTTTAATAAATGTCTTAAGTCAATAGAGTATTATATGTTTTTGGCCAAAGAATTAGGAAAAACATAGTGGAGATCTAAATTGGTCTTCAATATGGCAATCTACTGCTCTTTCATCCCCTCCAGTTTATATGTTGGCGACATACAGGTACGTGAGGGGGTGTCACACGGAGGTGGGTTGAGTCCTGTTCTCCCCTGCAGAGGAAGGCAGGACGCGCTCCAACGGAGCCAAGCTCAGGGAGCCACGGTTCAATTTGGATGCCAGGAAGCACTTCCTGACACTTAGGACCCCGAGGGTATGGAATGGGCTTCCATGAGAGGTCGTTGAGGCCCCGTCGGTGCGGGTGTTCAAGGATAGGCTGGACGTCCACATGGTGGGCATGTCATGAGCGGAGCCGGCTAGTGCCGGAGGTCAGACTAGATGGCCCGGGAGGCCCCTTCTGACTCGCTCTGTTTCTATATGCATCATCGTATACTTAAATGTACGTCGTATACTTAAATCAGTCCAGAAGTTTCCCTAGAAGCACAAAAGCTCGCTTGCTTGGACCATGCCTTCTTGGTGCCAAGAACCCAAAAGAAACCCCAGTGGAGGCCCAGTGCTATTCCAACCATGGGAAACAGCAGCCATCTAGATGCCCTGATCTTATATCACCTCCACCTTGCACAGTTCTAGATCCACAAGTCTAGATCTGGTAGAAACTTGACCGGCAGTCAGACCTTCTTTCCAGACTGGCTGGGAGACCCGTATGAACTACATTCCTCTGAGAAACACCCCAGTTTGTGGATATTTGGCGATGGATTGTATGGACCACAGGAAGCTGAGTCAGACCCCTGGGCCACTGCGCCCAGCATCTTCAGCGCTGACTGGCAACAGCATGCCAGGATTCCAGGCAGCCATTTTTCCAGCCCTCCTGGAAGCACCAAAGATCAAGCTTGAAATCTTCCACATGCAGAGCCCTGAGCTGCAGCCCTTCCACCTTCCTATTCCAGAAAGCCGAAACATCCCCTCTCCCTTTGGGCTCTCACTGGTATGGGGCCTTTGTTATGATCACTACTCTAGTTATTACACTGCATGGCACCATAGCAGCGAAAGCAGCTGCACCAAGAAGGGCAAACACCAAACAGAAACCGGGCAGCCCTCTGAGTGGGGTGGTGTAAACTGGTGTCCTGCAACAGCAGCGGGTTGGACCCAATGGCCTTCGTGGGCCCTTCCGACTCTACTATTCTATGATTCGATGATTCTGTGACTCCAGGAACACAACTGCTTACCTTCCCTTGTGAGGTCTCCCTCTCTCCGGCATTCCGGCCGATGTTCTCCGGTTCACCACCGAGTACTCCGGATCCAGCTCATACCCTTCGTCATCGACCCCCAGGCTGCGGTTATCATCCTCGAGCCCGTAAGGCTCCGGCTGGAACCGTTCCGGCTGGGAGCGGTTCAGGTCTGCGTTGCTTCCGGTGGGCACCTGGGGCTGGGGCAGGGGGCCGAAGTTGTCCCTTCTGCTCGGCAAAGTGAAGCTGCCATCCTCTGGCCGGTAGCTGTTCCCAGGGACGTAGGCATAGCGCGGACGATAATTCACCCCGCGGGACAAGCTCCCATAGTTCTCCTGGAGGTCTCCGTAGCCATCGTGGCCCACGAAAGGGCGATACTGGCCTTCGTGGCCGTCAGGGTAGGTGTCATTGTAGCTGTTGTACGACCGGGTCAAGGTGGAGGAAGCTTGTGGCGTGATGTACCGTTCCCCGTTCTTCATGTGTCTTCTGTCTATGGAGTCAGTGTAACTGCCCATGGGAGAGGAGCCATCCATCACAGGGAGGCCGTCGGGGCCAAGGGGAACCTGCCGCACGGTTCTGGTTGTGACTGTTTTGACCATTTTTGTAACCTGTGGAACGGCGAGAGAGAAGAGGAGAGGAGAGGAGAGGAGAGGAGAGGAGAGGAGAGGAGAGGAGAGGAGAGAAGAGAGAGAACCCTGGTTGCCGGTGCTCTCCAAATGCCGTGCGCACTGCTTTGAAGCTCTTTGGGCAGTGCAGCGGGTGACCAAGAGCCACTTCCCTCAAGGGGCACCTTCAGGGCATCTCTCACCCACCCCACTGGCAACCTCCCGAGCCACGTCCTGTGGCCCCACCTGTGGGGTCCTCATTCCACCTGTTTAGAACACTCTCACGCCCTTCCTTCTAGCCCAGGTAGTTTTGGCCTACAAGGCCCAGTGCAGGCCAGTGAATCGAGACACAGAAAGAGCCACCCCTGCAGTCAGTCCTCCAAATCTGGAAGGGTTAAATCAAGCAAGCAGCATATCAGGGCCTGGGAACCAAATGCAGCATCCCCGGCATTTTCAAGAAAGCCACAGCCCTTTCCCCAAACCACCATTTGATAGTGTCTGAGCTCTGAGGCACTCCTGATCCACTCTAAAAGCCCCTCTTAAGGGGTTTGTTACTGGTAGTAAAAGCTGAGAGAATAGAATTTGGTCCTGGAGCCGAAAGAGCTTCCAGCACCTGCACTAGCTTGCTTGTGTTTGTGTGTGTGTGTGTGTGTGTGTGCGCGCGCGCGCGCGCGCTCTTATGTGTTTTAGGATTTCTTGATTTTTACACATTCTTTTCGATACTTCTTCAACGGCCACTCTCTTGGTCCATGAAATTCATAACATCCTGCAATAAATACACATTTTCCCAATGCCATTATCTTTTTTTATGGTAGCCTGTATTAAAGTCCACAATTCCATGCCATACAGGAGAATGCAAACCCATAGCACCGTACGATGCACCTTTCCCCAGGCTGCTTCCAGGTTAGAAGACCTGCTGGCAAATTCATCAGGGAAAGCAGTGGTGACCCACACTATAAAGTCTGGCAGAGCCCTGGCACATGACTGCCCCTCTGAACCCAGGGGGAGCACACAGCCACCCTGACTCCATCAATCAATCGACTGATGGACTGACTCAAAACTACCAATAGAGACTTTAAATGCTTATCTACCGACACAACCCTTTCATTACTATCCCAGCAATTCTTTTGTCTTATCACGCCTGTTGGTTTAAAAGCTTCCCTTTACTGTGCACAATATAAAAATGAATAAATAAAACGGTATCATTCAACCCTTAAATTGTGGACAAAACCAAGAACTTTGGGAGGCACGCTCTAATTTTGCTTAAAAGTGTGCATGAGCGTGTGTGAGAGTGCATGGTAGTGTCACATCCTTCAGTTCTGAAAGTGTGCGCAAGCAGAAGAGAGCAATTCTGGAAGAATCCTCTGGCGATTAGCTGCAGCCCTGTTCTGGCGGTCAGAGCATGTGGAGGGGCCATTGGGAATGTGTGACGCTAAGCCCATTCCCGCAATGACCAGTGGGTCCCAAACACCTGACCAGGACTTTACCCTCCCAGCTGTATTGCGTCCAGCTGTTCTAACGGAACAGAAAGAGGGAGCCTCGGCCATTCCAGCAGACCTGCTGAAGAACAACCCCATTAAGTCTCCTCCTCCTCATCTATCAGCTCCAGCAGCCAATTCAGGTCAGAGTGAGATGGGAAGGGAAGGGAAGGCAGCACCATCTTCGACCAGCCCTATTTTTCCTCTTCCCTCCTCTTTCCTTCTTCCTTGTGTGCTGTGTCCTTCTAGACTGTAAGCCTGTGTACAGGGAATGTCTAGTTTTACTGATTATATATAAGCCACATGGGGAGCCTTTTCGGCTGAGGAACAGGATAAAGTGAATACAAATACATAAATAAATAAATAAGCCTGATTGATAAAATATGCTCCAAGACAAGCAGCAACCTTCAGCCCACAATTATATCAGCTAATTAGTCCCAAGTGCATTTTTTCCTCCATCCTCTCCTTTACCCACAATAGAGACTGGCTTGAGTCCCAAACAGGCTTTTATTTTTTTCATATGCACCAAAAAAATACCAAAACATTTCATTGCCCCACCCAGGGTGGGAATACGAAATCCCACAGAGCCTTACAGTAGTAATAACAAATACATTTTTCTGGATACTTAGCCACCAGCAATAAAAAAGACTTGTCCATAAAAGGAGCAAAGCTGAAATCTATTCATTCATTTTTGCTCTGTTCAAAAGATGAGTGGAAATCAATATATTAACTTCTACCAACTGAGGAAGAAGGAAAACAAAGCAAAACAAAATTCTTGAAAGGAAGATCAAAAGCTTTTGGGCCAGTTTTACAAATCAACATACAGCTGAAAAAGTAACCAGTGTCAGTCCGCAGCTTGAATCAAAGTGCGGCGCTTAATGGGAAGATCAGCAGTTGGCGCGTTCAGTGGTTCAAAAGTTAAGTTGTGGGAAACAAGAAAGGGGGAGATGTTTTGACCTCTAGCAACTTATTAAAAAATATCGCTCAGCCGCCAGATTAGCCAAGCTGGTGCAAAACAACCTCCTCCATGACATTAGAGGATGGCGATTCCAAACATATGTCCACATCCTTCTAGCACTGAGTTGACAGAGGGACATAGGAACCCACCCAAACAGCAAGGATCTTTTTCCCCAAGACATCTGCAAGCAACCAATTCTTCTGCCTAATGAGGTCCTGCAAAGTCTGTAAAAACAGCACGCCAGGATCACCTGCCGGCGGAATAATTGCGCAGCATCGCATGCTGAGTGATGGGCAGCGCCAGCTAATGACACCAATTTGGCTACCCCGAGAGCTATGAAGGCCTGCCCACATCCGGAGGGGCTTTTCGGCACTAATTGGCTTGTCCTCCCAAACTCTGGTCCATTTTTACTATTCTTTTTTTTTTACTGTTCCAGCTGAAATTAGAGAGCAGCTAACCACACCTAAACCACTCAGACTGGATTTACTGATATGGATACACTACAGTGATGGCATTTTGAAGCGTGTTAACCGTGGACATTGAGGAGGAGAGGGACTGGTGCAAAAGGAAAGGACAGGGATTCTAGTTCTGAAATGCAGCTATTCCGGGCCAGAGGTCCAGGCACCCGGCAAGCAAAATGGAGCAACGGCTACAGTTCCAAGCTCAAGGATCAAGGGAGGTGAGAATGACAGCAAAGGCCCTTCTGTTTTTAATTATGTCAATAATTGAATTTACAAAAGCTGAGCAGGACTGTCAAGGGCAAAGCATTTTGGAGGAGATTCATTCACCGGGTTGCCCTACATCGGAGAGGACCTGACGGCACATCACAACAACAACAGTAACTGGAATTAAGACTAGCCTGCTTTAAATCTGTGCTGAAATGGATGTGGACCTTGCACACATAGTCCGTGGAGAGAAAGTTCAAGCACCAGGGGCATTTAGTTCTGCCGAAGACGCAGATCCGCATGAGGAGTGGAAAATGCACAGATTCCTCATGCAGCCCTTGTGGATGTTTCCATGTCCCTATCGCTTTTCTAATTGGGAGTAGACAAGCTTTGAGCTGGCAAAAGAATTAACTTCTTGAAGTGTTAGAAGATGAGCTTTCAGCCTGTAACCACAGCACAGGAATGCCGAAGCCAGAAGGACAAGAAGGTTAGCCCAGCTCTGTAAGGCAGGAAGACTGTTTACTGTGAAAGGAGGACAATGAAAGCATTTCTGTGGCAACCGCAGAACAAAAGAGAGAAAGAGGGAGACAGCTCTTCTTTATATCCGCACTTGATAGAACAGCTCCCTCCTAGATTCATTCTCTACACATCTTACTGATACACACATGCCCCAAAAGGTCAGATATGACTGAATATTGAAGTTATCTTAACAAGGTCCTGTAATGATAGTTAATACACACCATACAAAAGATGAAATATGGTGAATAGACACACACACAAATACCAAGGATGAAAAGTCTTTAATGTATAGGAATGGCAGAGCCCCAGGAAGGCAGATAATGGGATTGGCCTGATTCAGATAACACAAGGCTGTCTTTGTCCAAAGTTTCCCATGTTTGGAAACATTGCTCTATGAGGAGAGACTGAGAGAGCTGGGTATGTTCACAGCCTTGAGAAGACAAGACTGAGGAGGGACATGATATCACTCTGTAAGTACCTCAAAGGCTGTCACAAAGAGGAAGGTCAAGATGTCTTCTTGCTCACACCAGAATGTAGGATATGGGATAATCAGCTAAAGCTGCAACAAACCAGATTCAGGCTAGATATCAGGAAAAGTTTCCTTGCTGTCAGAGCAATATGGCAGTGGAACCAGTTGCCTGGAGAGGTGGTGGGCTCTCTCACGTGAGAGACATTCAAGGTGAACCTGGACAGTCCTTTGAGTGGGATGCTGTAAACTGCTGCCCTGCAGCAACAGGAGGTTGGACCTGATGGCCTTCCTGGCCCCTTCCAACTCTAGTGCTCTATGATTCAATGATCGTACCAATGTTTCAATATCCCACTGCAGAATGGAAATGCCAGGGCTGGCGATTCAGTCTTTCTGGTGCATGGGACAGCAATATATAACTCCAAATTGCGGGTGTCATGTTCTCGAGCCTCAACCCAGCCCCACCAGCTTAGTGAAAGATTCTGGGCGAAACAACCATTTAAAAAGAAATTGTCTCCCACTCTGGGACCATCCAGGCCAGGAGGCAGCAATCTTCCAGTGTCCTGGGAGTCAGATCTACCCTGTGTTGCAGATCCTATCACTTTTAATCTGTAGGAACAAACGTAAGATCTTCTAAAGGGTTCAGGCAGCTCCTGAGAATGGGAAGGACTAAGAGCAGGACCAGAGCAGTCAGCTTTCATAAAGCTTTCTGCACTGTACTGAGACAACAGCCTCCTTTAAGTCAGTGAGAACTGCTCAGCCAGTATTGCTCTGTCCAGGGTCCTGAACGCCTCTGCCTGGCTTGACACAATGTGGCTCTACATATGAATGTCTCTACTGCAGCAAGCTTTCCCTGAACCTTGGATGTGAAAGGACAGAACATGGGAAATCTTTTTACAAGCAGGCACTGGATACCA